CATTTAAAATATATATGAAAATATGGAATAAGCGGTGTTTTAACCACCAAGCAATGAAAGTGTTGCATTTACAAGAATTTATTACACAATTTGTCTAATTTGCTGTACTTTCTTCTGAGCATTTCATATGTTTGTAATTCTCTCATGGTAGAATGCAGAACTTGAATTTATGACAAAATTTGAAGTGTGGCAACATACTGCAAAGTGACTTCATTAATTCTGTAATGCTTCTTTGATTTGAGATAATTTATGTGGTGTAATCATAGGTTACATATTGGAAGGCCAGGATTGTGGGCAAGAAATTGGAACTGCGTTCTTCACCACACCCAGTTACAAAGAAGCCATTGAAACAGTACTTGACCAGTAGCTAACATTGGGCCATGCCATAGCTCGGGTGGTTAGTCGCCAGGTTCAATCCTAGGTCAGGTCATGTGGGATTTCTTGGTGGACAAAGTGGCACTGGGGCAGGTTTTCCCCAAATACTTCAGTTTTCCCTGCCAATTCTCATTCCACCACCTGCTCCACACTCATTGTCAAATCACCCTGGGCTGAAACAGTAGGCAAGTTAATGGCTGGCGTACTGAGTGGACTCTGTCTCATCCAACCCAAAGGAAAAAGAAAATATATCTACATTCCAGCCAGCATTTGTATAACAGACAAGTAGCAGGAATATTACAGAAATACTCTTGGTGGTGAATCCTAGAAATCTGAGCAAATCTCTTAAAATATGAATAGTATGCATGCAGTATCACAATATTAATGTATCTATTTACAGACCTTCAGGAATTTAATGGAGGTGTATTGGGTTTGAGGTTCTCACAGAGGTGACTGAAGCATACAGTCTTCGGGGATGTGACATAAATATAGTCTGTTAGAAGTTCACCAGCATTTTTGAGGAACATATTTTCTCCATATTCAGGGTCAGGAATAAGAAGCAAGCAGCAAACTGCTTTACAATACTTTGTGAGTTCACCATATGGAACATTTATGTGTTTCATTGAAGGAAAGTAAGTGGTAGAATATTTTTATTAACTATGACAAATGACAGTTATATTGATAGCATGACTATGTTTAGTAATTGGTCCAGGAGTTAACAATAACTTCATATGAAATATGAGAGTGAATGATACATATAGTGATTTTAAAATCAAATTAACTATGTACTATTAACTATTAACTATGTATGTGTGAAATTTTAATTTGATGTTGTGCAGGATTGTGTTCCATTCATAATTCATTTTATATTCTTCAGGAATGCTTGAAAGTTTTTTAAATCAAATGCAGGGAAACTAACGATAGTCCCTGCAAGTGAAGAATAGTCAGAATTTGCAATGTTAACTTGTACATGAAAGCCATGAAGTGTCCTTTTTAAGTTCAACTTAACTAGTCATCAACATGTGTAGTGGTTTGTTTCTGTAGACATAGAGATTCAGTAGTATTACACTGATTTGACTTTCAATACACTGGTAACAAAATTATGTATACCACACTGTGGAGACTATATATAACATCTAGAATACTTGCAGAGTGCAGCATGGTTTGCAAGTGGTACTAATTCTGCCAGTAGGTGGCTCGGGCAACTGTAGTTTGTTCTGTCATATGTCAAAATTTTCACAAAAAATGTTCATTAGAAGAACCTAAAATTTATACTTTGTATTTTTTCAATTTAGATTGTGAATGTACAAAGCAGAGCCTCAAATTAAGTAACATATCTATAATAAAATAAGGCTAAAAAATGCAGAAACTGGCTCTGCTAGAGTTTAACCCCAGTCATTTTGTTTGTAATGCATTATGCTGCTGAATGAGCACAGTGTTTAAACTGTTACTTCTGAAAAAAAATGCTAAAAGGATGACGATACAACAAGGAAACCCTCTGAACTTCATGTGACATATGGGACCTTGAAATGTTATCACAGATAATTTCGTCCCTGGAGTGATGCAAACCTGAAACTTTTCAGTCATTTCATCACCTGCTTGCATTAAGCCATCATGGTGCTAAATGTTGGAATTAAAACATACCTATTTTACCCTGCTTGTGTCCCAACAGGGTACACACAGGAAGTAAGGAAATAAATTCTTTCATACTGCTGCCTCTTACCAACCTCTGTGGATGTTTCTGAAGAACGGAGTGGTGGTTAGGATTGAGGCCTTCAGGGAAAGGGGGAGGGGAGGTGTACTGTCGCCCGAATGTCGTAGCTTGAATTAAAACAAGGAATGAACATTAAATTTCTTATTAAATGTGGCAAGAGTGGAAGCGAAATCAAGCCCCCAATGACTTTTTGTGTTCCCGAAGATAAAGGAGATACTGAAAGGAAAGCATTTTGATAACAGTTCTGAAGGCCATTCCACAAAACCAGTTCCAAAATTGTTTTGAAGGGTGGACTAGGCGCTGGCATTGGTGCATAGCTTCCCAAGGGGAGTACTTTGAAGGCAACCACAGTGATATTCAGCAATGAGGTATGTAGCACCTCTACCGCGATGAGTTTGCAAACTTTATTGTCAGACCATGTATCATTGAGTTCTTGTTATAATTACATTCAGGTAAATGGAATTCCTCCAAGTGCCTGAGCATTAGCAACTGCTACAACTACATTGTCCTGTCTGTCATCTGTGGCCAAAGTGTAAAGTTATGTCATCTCCATTAGCACTGAAGTTAATATTTGGAGCTTTACTTGCATGTCACCTCTGACACGGTTTGGTATTTTGATGCAAGGGTACCTTTTACCTTAACTTCCTCTTATATATACAATACCTGTAACACCACAGCACACATTTTCATAATGTTCTAATCAGCATATTATTTCAGATGCCTAATGGTATATAAATATCTAAACAACATGCTTTACTTTTCAGGTCTTTTCCAGTGTAAGTTAATATTATACATCAGACTAGTCAAACAGCTGTTTTACTATATCTTAAAGTAAAAATTTAAGTACTTTGTATAAAATATTCTGGTAACAGTAAGTAGGATCTTTTTTGTAGCATATAGTTTTGTACGTACAAGTAACACTCAAAAATAATGGAGGAAAGATGTTTGTGGAATGGAACTGGTACATAGTGAACAAACTTTCAGTGGTAGCAAACAGTTCCATGCTGAGTGTTTTCTGGTAAAAATAATAAACAGTTCATCACTATTACTGACATGCCACCAAATCTATTATAGATTGCATTTTGAAGCTGTTAATTGGTATTGGATTTCGTATATTTGTGTAATGTTTGCTCTGCTGGTCAACCTTGTACCTTTCAAAATTTTGCTTATCAGTTCTAGAATATTCTGTTATCTTTTTTATGAAGTAGCAACCAACAGCCAGCTAATAGGAAGACAGTACATGTTCTGGATCTTTATCACACTATCATAAAATAAAAAGATTAACTGTATTACAACAGGATGCTGTCAATTAATGTTTAACAGGAGTGGTCAACCTGTCACTGAAGAATTTTTCTGTAATAACACCAAGAACCTTGTACGATTTCTGACAATACTGACCATCAAATTTGGACTGACCTGGTAGAAATAAAAGGCAAGTCCAAAGATGGTGGCATTTAGATGGACCAGTAAATACTTGTTCCTTGATTCACCACATATATGCTGAATCAAGTAACAACCTGTGTCTTAGTATGTCCAACATGTCTTAATATTCTGCCACTGTTTCTAACCTATAAAAAGCATTTGCTCGTATCTTGCACTATTTGTACTCAAGCCTGTTGTAGATGTCTTTGATAAATACGGTCCTTCGCATTGTGGCCTTCTGGGTTATGGCACCATGTAGCCTGGTAAATGGATACCAGCATTTCAGAGGATACATACTGCCTCCATCTTCAAGGGAAAAAAAAAAATGTTTTTTTCACCTACCTGACTACCAGTGTTACAACTCAGGCCATAATAGAAATATTGTTCCTGTTTTTTTTATTCTTAATTGTACAATTTTCCATGTCAGGAGACATTTTTCAGACATCTGTGATATTTCTGAGGCAGAATGTAACTGATGACAATGTCAGATGAAAAATGGTAAATGAATTTGAGTACTGAAGTTTTAATTTATGTGAAGAGTTCTTATTGTATTTGTTAACTGTTTTGCAGCATGTGTACATTTTTGTAAGGTCAAAGGCGGTACAATAAGACATTGAAATCAGTTATCCGTGTGCATTTATTTCCATTCTATGTTCAAGGGTTACCCAAAATGTAATTCCCCAGTTTTTTCAGTTAAAAATGTACAAAAAAAGCAAAACTTATACATTTGTCCCATTTTACTGGTTACATCTGCTTTTTTTTTTCCTTCATGTAATACTGTTCCCTCTCAGCTGCTTCATGGCATTGAGAATAAAGGGCATATGTTCCTTACCAGCGAAGTTCTATCCTGCCTCTTTGAGTGAACAGGGTTGTTGAAGACATCGCGGGCTATTTATTTCAAATTTTTTATGGTAGAGCGTTCCTTGGCCCTTTACATTTAGTTCTCATTTTCACAGCATCTTTTTTCTTTATATTTCTCTGAGATTTATTTGGTACAGTGTTGTTTAATGCTTGGGGGGGGGGCTTCTTGATCACAAAACTGTTGACTGCACAGGATTTGAGGAGGAACATATTTAAGCTGCCACGTTATATGCCATTTTGCAAAACACAGAAGGCTGTGAATAAGCTGACACTGAGAGCGACACACAATCATTAGATGTTAACCGAATTACATAGTGTTGAGTGACTAAATTTTTAGAAGGGCAAGAAATTTAATTGACAGTGTGGCTGAAAAATCATATTAGTAGTGAATCTGTCCTTGAATGGATTAAGGACCACTTATTTCTAATAAGCTGGAAATTATAGAGGCTGAAAACAGTAATAAGAAAGGAAGAAAGAAAATCCCTTAAACAAAAGTCTAAAATAGATTACTTCTAGGACCATTATCTATGTATTCTTGACCTCGGTATTAGTTGGAGGTGAGTGGTCAGCTTCACTTCCTGGCCACTTTACCCCTTGATGCCCACTGCATAGGAAGCTGGGTGGGTTCCAGAGCCAGTCTGGATGACATAGAGAAGAGAAAAATCTTGCTCTACTGGGACTTGAACTCCAACCCCTCAGCCGCAGCCAGTCATCATACTGACTGTACTGTCCTTGCTCCTTTTCAAGAGCACAAAATTTTGTTTATCTTTATTTCTCTTTATATTTATGTTAAGCGTGTTGTGTAATTAACATAAGCACACTGAAGTTCCAGGACAATCAGAAGCATGTTATGATGCTGAGGCTTGAATGCAGCATGGGTAGTGGACATTTCCAGATATCTGGATCACCTGTTACTTCTAATTATCCTGCTATTTCTCTTTATTACCAAGGATAGCTGAGAGTCTGTTGTATTTCAGTTAAAGTGCATCCATCCACATTTGTTTGGTTGTCGGCACTTACAAACATGCCTTAGCTTGATATTTAAATTTATTTTACACAATCCACAAAAAGGCAGACAGCATGGAATTCGTCAACTTCTTGCAATAAGTTACTTACATCCCCAACACATGTAACTTTCTTTTCTAACTGAGGAAGACGAACTCTATGGCTATAAAAGAATATGACAGGTTCACATGTCTCTTCAAACACAACACCTCGGTCAGTTTTGAATCCATCTACTGTGCTGTATGTCATATGAACAAAGGCAACATACTTGTCACGAGGCTGCTTATGAACAGCCCATAGTGATGATGGTAATGGAATCACATAGGCATATTCAAGTAGTTCACTGTAAGTGAAAGCTGACACTCGCAGCTTTGCAGTATCCACTTCATTTGGCTCGTTTGGTCTACAAAGCATTGTTTCAGGTATTCTGTTACCAGTTATTTTAGTAGTTTCTTCTGCTAAAGAAATAGGAAATTCAAAATCACTCCTACATGATAATGTTTTTTTAATCTCTGCAGAGGCTTCAGTCTTGTTGCCTGCTAACAGGCCATACAGTTCAGTTCTACAATGATCAGAAGTGTTGAACACTTCAAATAATGGGGATTTCATACCCTCAGTGAGTGCTGGGTTAGGTCTTTCTTCAGAATCAGAGTTCTGCTCCTCTTTAATTTGGATGGATGCTCTGTCATGTCTGGAAATTGTGACTCCTTTTTTAAAATGAGTGGATGTTCCAACGGCATAGTCACCTGCAGTTAGCTTACGCTTCTTTTCCAAACTGCGCCTTTGAGCTAGAGCTCTGCTTCTCCTCGTAGCCTGTTTTGAAATACACTTCATTAAACATATTAATATAATAGCAGTTTCGTTTGTTTTCGCATATTTCACTAGTGTTTCATTAGATAAGCTATAGCATCGAGGAGATATGACAGGATGATTATGAACAATGAATGTGAAAAGAAATGGCTGACTAATTTGTAAGATGGAAGGGGCTAATGAAAACCATTCACACTCACCACAGTAACTAGTGAGTTTTGCTTCTATTTAGTCATATATTTACAGTTCTGAAACAAATTTAAACTCGAAGAAAGCAGTCTTCTGGGATTTGGCACCGTGTATATGTGGTGTTAACCGACGTTCCTCCGAAACGTCGGTTAACACCACATATACACGGTGTCAAATCCCAGAAGACTGCTTTCTTCATAGTCACCGCCGTGAAAGCCTCAAATCTTACAAATTTAAACTCAGTAACCAGTTTCATGACGTTAATTTAGTTCAGTTTACAGCAGATTTTGTTGGTTCTAATACAAATCCTGTGCAAGTTTGCTGGTGGACATCATGTGGGAGCACAAATATCACTTAAACGTATAGTTACTCTATTGTATACTGTTTCCTTTCTGAGGCTGCAGTGTACTGAACTTGAAGTTAGAGGCATGGGGACAATTTGACCATAGTCTAATTCATTTAAATAACCTGGTATATGGAACTGAGGAAAATCATGGCTAATCTTAATAAGCAAGAAAATCCAGTCTGGCCAGGATTTGATATAGGTACTTCTGTATTTTAAATGACACATGATTCTATACGCTTTCTTTCAATTTGTGGATGTGCACAATGAGATGCTGACAATGTGGGTGGGGGGATCTCATCATACTGCAAACATAAAGACCATACTTACCCTAAGTCCCTTTAAGTTATCACAGGAGAACACAGATGGCACAGCACCTTTTCTTAGTTTTGGATTTCCTCTTTCTATCCGAACCACCTGACCATCAATGATATGAGTATAATAACGTTCTATATCCTCCTCCTTGAAGTGCAGTGAACAAACCAAGTCACATTGATGGAGGTTCCTGTCATTTCTCTGTATTATTGAATCCCATAATTGTACCATATGCTATGAAGAAATATAAATGCAGATTATAAATATGCCTAAGTAACCAAAAGTTATAGAACTTTCATTGTGCCATCCTCACAACTGAACACTATTATCTCTGTGATGGCCTACATCAACTGTATGCTGATCTACAGGATGTATAAATTGCAAGGTGTTGATACAGCATTTGTTTGGCTGTTCAGTTGCCAAGCAGATAATGATACAGATTCCCCATCATGCTAAGTTCTAGAGCGGTCTTTGATTTTACATAGATGTTGTTGCCTGTTTTGGTTTAAGTAAAGTCTACTCAGCTTACAGAGAACTGTTCCAGTTCTCTGCGCTGGCCAGATTTTATGCCAATCTGCCACATCAGATTTAACGAAACTAGAGACTTCTCAAGTTTAGTGCTCTAACTCTAACTAATTTCATGTAAACTCTCATTCCCAATTGTTGGTTTGGAAAAGTTTTCCCTACCTATTTTGGCACTGAAATCTCCTGACAAAATTTTCATGTGATATTTAGGGAATTTATTGAATAGTTCTTCATAGAACCTATCTTTCATATCATCAATTTTATCTTCTGTTGGGGCATGAACATTCAGAATGATGATATCACACCAGTGACCTCTTAGTATTATGTATGACATCCTAATCACTAACAAACTCTATCCTCTTAACTGCTGATATTATTCTCTTACGTACAAAAGAACCTGTACCTAATTCATGGTTGTCATTCCGCTTTCCATATAAAAAAGTACATTTGCCTGCTGGTTTGGTGCCTGTACTCCCACTAAATCTAACTTATATTTTGAGATTTCTTCTGCCACTGCCCTGAGTGAACCTGCCCTATACATACTTCTAACATTCCAAGTACCAAATCTCATATCCATTTTGCATAGTGGGGGGGTGGAGTCCAGCTGGGTCCACTTGGCACGGCGGCCACTGATTGGCCTACTGTACCCACCCCAGGTGACTATGGTGATGGAGAATTTGGTGGAATGAAGATTGGCAGGGGAAACCGAAGTCCTTGGAGAAAACCTGCCCCAGCGCCACTATGTCCACCACAGATCCCACTTGACCAGAGAGGCTTCCAAGACTTGCCTCCCATCTGTTCTCTTAAAAACCCCCACTGGGATATGACGCCAGATCCTGAAGGCCACACAGGCCATGACCAACCAACATAACAACCCCCCCCTCAGCTTACGGGTTAGTGCCCAGCCTTTAACCTTGCCTTTCTCTCCCCCAACACAAAAACCATGCTTGTCCCAGCTCCTTTTCCCCCCCCCTCCCACACTACTGTTTTCAATTGTATACTTGCCCTTCCCCCCTTCCTTCTCTGCTCTCACATAGCTGTGTATAATTCCAACAACAGTCTGCTTTTACCGGTTCTCACGGTCTCTTCGCTTGCAGATTTCTTATATTTTTTCTTCTACCCTGAAGATGGAGGCGATACGTTCCTCCGAAACGTCGGTTAACACCACATATACATGGTGCCAAATCCCAGAAGACTGCTTTCTTCATAGTCACCACCATGAAAGCCTCAAATCTTACACAGTACATCAGTTATTTGTAGACTTCAAGAAAGCATATGATTCAGTTAGGAGGGAAGTACTGTACAATGTTCTGATAGATTTTGGGGTACCCATTAAACTAGTTAGGCTGATTAAAATGTGTTTAAACAGAATGTACAGTAAAGTCCATATAGACAAACATTTGTCTTGATAATTTTTCTATCCAGAATGGTCTAAAAGAAGATGTTTTATCGACACTGCTTTTCAACTTTGCATTAGAATATGCCATTAAGAAGGTCCAGGAAAACCTGGTGGGACTGAAATTAAACAGGACACATCACCTGTTGGTCTATGCCAATGATGTGAATCTATTGGGTGCTAATATAGATACCATAAAGAAAAACACAGAAACTTTAACTTTAAGGAGATTGGTAGTCTAGAAAACCAGGATTAACGACCATGGGGAACCGTTGTGCTGACCACATGACACCCTCTATCCGCAAAAGTTGGCACTAACTTCACCAACAAGTGGTGGTCATTCGGTCAGTATAGTTCGCTTGTGGACTAGAGAGTTAAGGAAGTTGGTCTAAACATAAACATTGAGAAAACTAAGTACATGTTGCTGTCTCATCACCAGAATGCAGGGAAAAATCATGACATAAAGATAGGAAACAGATGTTTTGAAAATGTGATACAGTTCAGATATTTGGGAACAACTATAACAAATCAAAACCTGATGCAGGAGGGAATTAAGAGATGACTGAATTATGGTAATGCTTGCTACCATTCAGTCCAAAACCTTTTGTCTTCTTGTCTGTTGTCTAAAAACACAGAAATTACAATATACAAAACTATAATTTTTTCTGTAGCTCTGTAGGGGTGTGAAATTGGTCTCTGACATTAAGGGAGGAATACAGACTGAGGTTGTTCGAGACAGGGTGTTGATGAACATATTTGGAGTGAAGAGAGATGAAGTGACAGGAGGTTGAAGAAAACTGCATAATGAAGAGCTTCATAACTTGTACTCTTCCCTAAGTATAACTAGAATGATCAAGTCAAGGAGGATGAGATCAGCAGGGCATGTAACCTGAATGGGAGAGAAGCGAAATGCATATAGGATACTGGTGGGAAATCCAGGAAAAAAGTGATCACTAGGAAGACCAAGATGTAGGTGGGTGGACAATATTAAAATGAATCTTAGAGAGATAGGATGGGATGGTATGGATTGGACTGATCTTGCTCAGGACAGGAACCAGTGGAGAGATCTTGTGAACATGGTACTGAACCTTCAGGTTCCATAAAATGCTGGGAAATTCTTGCATAGCTGCACATTTGGTGGCTTCTCTGAAAGGGTTAAGCTACATGTGTGAGTGAGAGACTTCTCTAGTGTCTTAATGGGGAGTGAAGTACAAGTATAAGCCAAAGAATCAAGATCAGTCATACTACATTATTTGTTACAAAGTGAAGGTCACACATTTATTTAATTTGAATAATGTGATCAAGCAAATTTCACTTCCAACACTAACGATACAATAGGTTATGGAATTTTAATATTTATTGTTTCTGCATAAGATGACATATTACTTTATTGCAAACAGAAAACATGCACATTGTCCTTTTCTAAATAATAGCATGAGGAATAAAACTGAAAACACCAAGGTCTATATTGACATTAAACTGAATGGCATAAAGTCACAACTTTATAATATGATTACTTCTGGTTTGGGCCACTATGTTGTTTAAGTGGGGGAGGGGGGGCTAAAGTTTCCATTTTTAGGCATGAAAAGCGCAAGCTATTATAAAGAATACAATCTTCTGGGACATGAAACCGTGTAGTCCGGTAAAAGTTCACACACGGTTTGGGTTAACTTCTTAAAGGTTTACTGGATTACACGACCTCATAACCCAAGCATTGTACTCTTCATAGTCACTCCTGTGAGAACCACAAATTTGACATAATATTAGTTTGCCAATGGTCAGTATCTATTTTACCTGGTATCCCCGATTTCTTAAATATTCCCTTCAAATATGTTTCAACAAATTATGCTTATTTAAATACCTCCGGGGGGTGAAAAAGTGATGGAATGTTTTCTCCAGCTTGCCTTGCCTTTCTGATGTTAGATGCATATCCACTTTTGCAGCCAGGTACGTAACAGCTATGGGAAGTCATGTCAGTTTAAAACGAGTTAAAACGAAGAATGAGACTGCTGTTTCAACTAGAAAAGAAAATATTCACAACCATATTCATGGATGCGACATGTCAAAAATATTGCTCTCACATGGCATATTTCTACTGACGACAATCGAAAGATCGAAAGCAAACTATCACATCGATCACATCATTCGATTTAGAACTATCGATCTCCATCAATCGTTTGAACGGGAATCAAAATTGCATGACATAGATGACGTTCCGGACGACATCCGGACCGGATCCGGACCCTCCGGACGTTCATAAGGTTCATAAGCTTCATAAGCGACCTAAGCGACATAGATCACGTAGATCGACATCGATCGACATTGATAGCATAGATAGGAACAGCGGGATAGGTCGTTTGTGAGGTATTGGGCTGGTTGTGGAGGTGGTAATATGGTAATAATACTAGTATAATATAAATAGAAAAATGTAACTGCTATTGATTTAACAGACAGACATGATATGAAAGAACCATCACAATTTTACTTACATGTGTTCGTAATCGATAACTTTTAAGGTAAATTGTACAGACTAGGAGTTTGATAGAAGGTACAATGCAATTTAAGCCTTTTTATACCGTGATCCAAACAAAGATTGTAGGACGAAGGTTAATGAGTGATTTATTTCGGTATGATAACTTCTTTCTGATTGTTTCTGATACTGAGGTTAGTTGGTGGTACGTGTGGTGTATATCAGATTTTGTTTGATCGTATTCCATGTGGTCTGCAACAGATAATAATAACAAGAGTAAGAACTAGCTAACGGAAGAATATTACATTTCTTTCATAACACCGTATAAGATAGTTAACTATTAACGTCTGCCATAATTCTAACCATTTCTTTCAGAGACAAAACAGTATTTTGCTGTCAGTTGGATTTCCCCGGAGAATTATTCCATATGACGTAATGGAATGAAGTAAACGAACTGAACTTATTTTAAAGTTTCTGTTTTCGTAAGGAAAGTTACTGCACTCATAGGAAAGAAAGCATGATGAACAGTTCTAGGTAGTTTATTTAATATGATTTGTATCCACCCATGTTGATCATTCATAAACAGTGATTCCTGCATTAGGGTTTCATGTAGCAGGTGTATGAAGTGAAGGTTAGCAACAGTAAATAGAAGTATGCAAATATGTTGTTTTAGGAAATAATGTAGGCATGGATCTGAAAGAATTGCTGAAGAAATGTGCTGCCAAAAGGCCAGGTATGAACACATTTGATTTAAGTAGTCATTATTTGAAGAGTTCTGTCTTCTGGGATATAATGCTACAAAGTCAACCAGTGTTGCTGAAGTTTCTTACTTGGCTTACTCATTCACCCTGAAGATGGACATTGAAACGCTGGTTAACTGTCAACAAACTGCCTAGTGATATATCCCAGAAGATAGAACTCTGTATAACCAGAACTTTATATTGTACATATTCACTACTTCTCTTTCATACAGTCTGTGCATGCAGTTCTTTATTTAATTTCAGAGATTTCACACCAGAAGGCTTTTGAATGTGAGTCAGAACTGTTTATAAAATATTATTGGGGAAGAAAGAAGAAAGAAGAGGGGACAGACCCGACATACAGCGCTATTCCACAGTTTTATTTTAAGGTTAGGTATGATTTAGTACCTGCATAACTTACATTTCATCATAATTACTGGAGCAGCAAAAGCATAATATGAAAGATAGGTACTGTGAGTGCGCCTTTGCTCTCTTTTTCTGTGTGAAATATTTATGTGTAATATTTATTTGCAAGTGCTGCAGGTAACAACCAAGCAACTAAATTCATCATTTCAACTTGTATCTGGGAGACATATGTGTCTAATTGAGAGGATGGCTTTTATAACAGTATAATCTGTATCCAGTTCCTTTTATATATTGACATAATAACAGAACTTCACATATGCTTTTTAAAGAACCTCCACACTATGTAGAAAACAGCTTATAAACATGTTTTATCCAAGCATAAGGTTTAATTTCAGTTATGTGGCCCCTTTTTCTCAAAATGTTCCTAGTAACTACCCATATTTTCTTCACCTCTTACTTTGTAACATATTTATTACATTGCTTTGGTTCCTCCTCTTGTCACATCCGTGTCTTATCCATCACAGTTCTTGTGTCTTTCTTTTTCCTGGTGCTTTTTTTTTCCCATTGAAATCACTTAAAGCATATTTTGTTTCCCACTTTCTTTTCATACATTCTTCACAAAACCGGTATTCATTTTGAGGTTTGAGGTTCTCACATTGGTGACCGAAGAATACTATCTTCTGCGATGTTAAGTTGTATAGTTCGACAGTTTGCTGTTGTTTTGGAGGAATGTACTGCTTCCACCTTCAGGATAAAAGAGTAAGCCAAGCAAGTGACGAGGAGAACTGGGAGATGGATGTAGTATGTTCCTCTAAACCAGTGATAACCTTGTATCAGGCTGCATGGTGCAACATACCAGAAGTAAGTACTCATTTTTTCTGTACTTTATCCTAGAATGTCTCATTCTGTTTCCTGTCTTAGAGGTAAAATACAGTATATCTACAGCCTCATTAATCTTGTCTCTTTGCAATGAATATTTAATTCTACACACACTCTGGCAATCCCCCCTCCCCCTCCCTGCTTAAACCAACATCCTGTTTTTGTCTCAGTAAAACTGAAGCAAGTTATGAAGTGTATGTATGGTATGGTGCGTTCACTTTATTATTACATCTAGATTATCAGTTAATGATTGACTTGAGTAATCCTTACTTGAGTTTTCATAATTTTGCTTGATCGTTGAATATACAAGTACAGAAATGTATGCACAGCATAACAATTGTGAGATGTCTTCCCAGTTCTATTCAATTTTCACAGAAACATTAGGACTTAAGGCAAAATTGTATTGGACATGAAGTGTATGCACAATTTTTCTCCACAACTTTTGTTCAGAACACTTTCTATTTTCATAAATATTTATTTACTTGCAGTTATACACAGAAATGCATGTAGTTCATCTCATAAAGTAAGCATTAAACTTGCCTTATCTATGTAAGATTTGAAGTTTAGCACCTGCTCACGCTGGTTCCTCGCTCTCCGATCTTCTTCTTTTTTCTTCTACCTTGAAGATGGAAGCGATACGTTCCTCCGAAACGTCGGTTAATACAACCTCTACATAGTGCCACATCCCAGAAGACTGATTTCTTCTTGTCTTATATAAATGGAAATCAAAGTGTCTCAGCAGTTTTTCATAAAATTATGCAGTATCAAATATAACCACAGTTGGTTTGTCTGTTTCCAAGTGCCATGCCATAGCTCAGGAAGTTAGTCACCACTTTCCCCCTGCAGAGGTCTTTGTTCAATTCCAGGGCAGTTCATATGGGAATTGTGTTGCATGGGGTAGGTACTATGGCAAGTTTTTCTCCAAGTACGAGGGGGTACCCAAAAGAAACTGAACTTATTTTTTTTTAAACTTATTTATTCAAATTTTAAGCACAAACCTTCAATCCCCTTCAAAGTACTCTCCACTTACACTAATACACTTCTCTAGTCTTTTATTCCATTTTTCAAAACATTGTCTAAATTCATCTTTTGAGATGCTTGACAGCGCCTCCGTCGTTTTTTCCTTTCATGTCTCTTTTCATTCGAGGAAACAAAAGAAAGTCGCACGGGGCAAGGTCGGGTGAGTATGGAGGGTGAGGAACAGGGGTCATACCATTTTTGGTCAAGAATTGTCGTACAGACAGGGCTGTGTGAGCAGGGGCATTGTCATGATGGAAAAACTCGTCACCCGACTGCCACAAATCTGGCCGCTGAGCTCCAAGTCACTCCCGACAGCTCCACAATTTCTTCAATGGTCCGTCGTCGATCTTCCTTGATGATTTCACGAATTTTTTCAACATTTTCATGTGTTCGGGCCGTGGAAGGACGACCAGAACGAGGTTTGTCATCAATTGACATTTCACCATTTTTGAAACGGGAAAACCACTCAAACACTTGAATTTTCCCCATAGCATCGTCCTTGTACGCTGTTTTTAACATTTCAAGAGTTTTTGTTCCACTTTTCCCGAGCAAAAAGCAGAATTTCACCGCCGCACGCTGTTCACGAAAATCAGCCATTGCAAAAATGACGATCACACAAAACAGTTGTCACTATAAACTCTGCCGAAACTAGTCCTTACCTTCTGTAGCAACAGTAGTCGGCTTATCGACTCAGGAATGTTAGCTCTATGCGCTCATAGCGGCAAAACGCGGTACTACAAAAGCTCTGCCCACAAAAAATTAGTTCGGTTTCTTTTGGGTACCCCATCGTACTTTGCTTTTCCCTTCTATTTATCATTCCAACAAGGCTCTATTCTTTCATCAATCATCTGGAACTGTACATTGGGCCCAATTGCAGCCTAAGTACCATGGGACCTACTCCACTGCAAGAATTAGAGGAGATTCTTTCTCAAGTTGTATTATATATACAGACAGATGGGAAGTGAAATTGTAATAGATGTCCTATGAGAAGTATCGCAAAGTTCCCAGACTAGGTCAAAAGAGAAATGCTGGCTTAATTTAATTTTGGCTGCCATCTCCTTCACAGCAGTCTCCTTGGGAATGTATACGGCGATCCCATTATTTTTCCATGTTTTGAAAGCACTGTGAAAGTCATTTTCTGTAATGCTGTTGAGTACTGCTTGCGATCCCTTTGATTTCATTAGAATGTCATCACTTCGGTTTCATTTTCATTTTGGGAAAGAAAGCAGAATCACAGGGGTCTAAGTCTGGCGAGTAGGGAGGATGGGGAACGATAACCATGTTGTTAGTCAAACTGTGTGGTTTTCAGGAATGTGTGGGTGAGCACGTCATGACAGAGGCAGTTGTGGTTGCGCCGAAGTTCCAGTCTTTTTTGTCGCCCATTTTCTCTCAAGTGTCTCAAAACGTCACAGTACAAGTAAAAGCCAGATTTTGATCATAGTGTTAGGAGGAACGAATTCACGGAGAACAAACCCCTTCATGTCAAAAAAAAGAAGAAGAAAACGAGCATGTTCTTTGTTGAACTCCGCACCTGCCGCCCCTTTTTTGCTCTTGGTGATTGTGGCCTCTTTCACTACGACAATTGTTACATTATTTCTGGATTCTAACCATAAATCTAACTTTTGTCACCCATTATGATCCTAGAGATAAAAATTGGGTCCATGTTAGCCTTCTCTCGTTGCTCAAGGCATATGTTTATGCTCCACTGCTTTTGATTATTTGTCAAGAGTCGGGGAACAAATTTCACGGCAGTGCGGCACATGTTCAGATTTTTCATTAAGTTCTCTTGGCAAACTCCATAACTGATCCAAATAGAGTCTGTGAGCTCATGGATTATTCAGTGACAATCTTCATGGGGTGAGTTCTTGAATTTTATCAACATTTTCTGTTGTTATGCTGTTGCTTGATCACCCTGAACATTCATCATCTTCAGCTGACCCTTGACCGGCCTTGAAACATGAATGGCACTCAAAAACCGCTGTCTTAAAAAAATGTTCTCCAGAAGCCTCCTGAAGCATTTCAGTGTTTTGGTTGTGAATTTTCCAAGCTTCAAAACTTGATGCAGACATTTTGCTCAATTTTGCCATACCTTGCAGACAAAATGAAACACGAGTTGAAAGAGCACTTGCATGTTCACAGTGTGGTGTCATGTGGCAGACTGATGCAGTAGGCTTGGCCTCTCCTCTCATCTTCTTTCACCCAGGCAGTTACAACAATAACAGTCTGGGAAGTTTCTGATAGCATTTGGGCGATGTTTATTTTGTTTTTGTTTCCTTTCTAAGAGACACGCATCGTAAAAGTAGACATAGGCATTGCTGCTTATACTTCATAATATCAAAAACTTCTCAAACCCAAACCTTATTCTAGTTAAAAATAACATACAGAAATGAGGAATGCCAGCCATTTTAACACATCACTCATGTAAGATAGAATGTAGAAAAATTGAAAGAGATCTGTCGCTTCTGTCATAGCCAGATTTAATTAAAATGTAAATACCTGGAAAGACCAGAGGTGATAGCACCTCAGAGTAGTGTCTTGAATGGACCCGGTAAAGTAATAAATTCTGGGTAATGTGAAGCATCAAGCTCATACTCTGGTCTTTGTTAACAAATATCAAATATTGGAAATCGTTCAAAATTCTTGTAGTTGGAAATGATCTGGAGCTTCAGTAATTTATTTTAGAACATCAAATGCTTTAGGTTTGCAACTGTAATAATTTATTTTCTTATGAGGGTTCACATTGAATCCATCATTATGGAAGTGGATAATTGCTCATCAACCCCAAGGTTCTGTTGAACACAGTATGGTAGTTACTGTTTTAGATGTTTAAAATGATTGTTATTTGTTTCTTGCAGCTGCCAAAAGATGATGAAATTCTATCACAGAAACTACGTGAAGAAGCACGTGCCATCTTTCTTCAACGTCTTGGACGACAACTGTTGAACAACAATGAATTGAAGGTGTGTATGGAAGTAGAATTTGTTAATATTAGAGTCACTTTTACCGACCACACAACATATTTTTATTATTATTACACTACATGTGTAATAATAATAAAAATATGTTGTGTGGTCGGTAAAATTGACTCTAATATTAATTAAATACACAACAGGATGCAAGAAACAATTAAAGTAGCATTTGTTCTCTATGTTGTTGGGAGCTATTACCAGGCAACAACTGGTGAAGACAAGACTTCATGTGTGCTGCAGTACAGTGATCTGTAGAGTATGTAGATCTCTGAAACTGTTACAGTTGCATGAAGTTACGAGTTAGAAATGTTCAGTAAATTTAGTTATCACTCCAAACTTCGTGTCTCATCGCTAAATTGTGATAATATTTAAGACTTTGTTTTTGTAATATGTTGCAGTTTCTTTCATTCTTCTTTCTGATAATCTGTTCTAACACAGATCACAGATCTTCCTTAGAGCTGGCACTTCAACTTGTACTCAAGAGATTACAAATCCCATTAAAACTTTTCTCAGTGGATACACTAACAGCCATTTGAAGTTCAAAAATATATTTGTTTCTAGCTAAGTACTTGGAGAAAAGTTGAATTCTAATAAGCACTCAATTACTGAAGAAATTTTTGAAATTTTATGGAGTCCAAGGGTTCATTGTCATTTTAAAATAGCTTTTATAGGCGCAAGGCCCTGTGTAACATTTAGTAACATGCTGTTCCCTTTAGGATGAGGAGCTGTGTCCCGTGCCCAATCCCAAGCTGGAGAGATCCTATTTGTTGGCTGCCCATAACTGTTCGTTCAGTATGTTTGCAATTGCCCTTCATATTTGGAGGCCATCTTCTACATCCAAAACCTGAGACGCCATGCCCTGGGACAAGTGACCTACTTAACATAATCATGACAGAGTTACTGAATTAGTACCTAAAAAAGAATTTTACATGTTAGGGGAAGGAACTGGACTGCATTTCCTGTCACAATAATTTTATTTATTTATTTTTTTTTTCAAAAGAATGAAATGCAGAGTAATTGTGATCTGATAAACTTTGGATTTTTTTTAAGATGTAGAATATTTCTCTCAATGATCTGGATTTTTTTAAGATGTAGAATATTTCTCTCAATGATCTGTTTTGCATGATTCTTTTTCTTCCTGCCTAAATTCTGTGTTATATAACAGAATTAAATTATTCCAAAGACATCTCATACTGGGTATATGATTTTAAGGTTTCTGATTGTTTTTTTTTTTCCAGGCCTTGTGGGTCCTTCTTGACAAATACCACAGCCCACCACACTCTGAAGAAGAGCAACTTATTAATTATGAAGATTTTCTGCACGTTGCAACTCTGGGAGGTCCAAAATGCAAGTAGGTGTTTTAGTTTCATAATTCTCCACAGTTGTAGTAAAATTAAAATTTGTAAGATTTGAGGTTTTCATGGCGATGATTGTAGAGAAAGCAGTCTTCTGGAATGTGGCACTGTGTAGCTGTGGTGTTAACCGACATTTCAGAGGAACGTTGCTTAACGCCACATCTACATGGTGCCACATCCCAGAAGACTGCTTTCTTCAAATTTAAATTTGCTTCATACGTTCATGATGAAAATTTAAGAGAAATAATACCTTCAAGAATTATTGTTTAATTTCAGATTATTTTTGCGTGTCAGTTACGAGTGTTAAGAATATAATTATAATGATCGGAAACTTCTTACTCACTCATCAGTTTTGAGTCTTCACTCATCATCCTACGATTTCTTATTGATTCTCCATGAACTTCACAGTTTGTACAGTTTTGTAAAATAACATGATAGAGCAGGCCTTTCCTACTGTCAGGTAGTTAGAAAGCATTATATAATCACATTATATTCCTCTTTCAGAAATTACTTCACTGCTGCAGTATTCGCAAAACTGCAACATGGAGATCCCTATGGACGTATCAATATCATGGCCCTTTTCAACTACATCATGAGGAAGGTTTGGTACCACCAGACTCGCATTGGACTCTCATTGTATGATGTTGTAGGACAAGGTTACCTTCGTGAAGTGGTTAGTTACTGATGCTGTAATGCTAATTCATTCAGCTGTAAAAGAAATGGATAGAAAGAGATCTGGTCTTATTTCTGATGTAGAAAATAAATTGTTTAAACAGGCTAAAAGGATAAGCGTTTGGTTCAATATTTGTATGTACTGCAATATTCTGTTCCAGGACCTTGAAAACTACATTTTAGAACTGATTCCCACATTACCACAACTTGATGGACTGGAGAAGTCATTCCACAGTTTCTATGTATGTACAGCTGTACGCAAATTCCTGTTCTTCTTAGACCCACTTCGCACAGGTCGTGTGCGTATTCAGGATATTCTGGCTTGTAGTTTCCTAGACGACCTTCTTGAGGTGTGTATTTTAATTGTAATACTGTGGTATTTTACACTTATAGTTACAGATGCTGAAGATATGATGCTGGGATATGACATTGTGTAATCTGGTAGAAGCTTGCTGACCTTCGTTCAAAATTTCAGTACACTTCTACCAGAATACATGGTGTCACATCCCAGAAAACATCATTCTTCCTGATCTATGCCATGAGAACCTCCAAACTGACACTTGTGTATAATTTGAGTACCTATATTGATACTGTGACTTGTATAACCATTGCTAGGCAGCGACTCAGTAAATACGTTCTTGCGGAAGAAAGCACATGCAACAATAGGACATCCATTGCTAGTCAACGGATCAGTAAACACACCTTAACAATAAAGCCTGTGTTTTCTGCGTAGTTTGTTCAGAGTGGTTATAAAGAACTATAGAATAATATTTGTAGTTGAGAAGTGAAGAGTTGAATTTTGGGATGCCAGCCTTGAAGGATATGAGCTTGGTAGCAGAGAAATTTAATCGAGTTGAGTGATTGGAAATGGCAGGTGCAGAATAATGGAAAGAAAGGAATTAGGCTGTGAAAAGAAAGCTTCTTGTGTGATATGAATTGACAGTGAGACTGTTATGAATCCATTGGCAGGATACAATTAGTGAAGACTGAGAAATATGTTTAACGGTGAACTATAGAGTGTGTAGATTGGCGATAACACTGTATTGCCTGTAGTCCCGAGCTGCAGTAAAGCCAATCATCCAATCCAAAACCCATCTTATAAGTCATTCACACAACCCCTACATGTAACCGTTTGGTGTCAGAAGTGGGATTGCATTTATTGATTATTGGATTGGAGACTGTAGTGGTTGACTGTATCATCAGCCTACATGTTGGAACACCTGCTGGCCAAGATGGATGCCACACAAGCAATGCTGGTTAGTATGAATGCCAAGATGGATGCCTGACTAGAAGAAATGGACAGTTGAAAAGAGATGATGGCCTGCCAAGAAGTGATGGAGGCCTATCCAGAAAAGACGGAGATGAATCCACAGGAAATTAAATTTGTAGATGTGCATAAGGAAGTCCCTAAGGAATAGGCTGCAGTGAAACCTGTCAGAGCCCTGAAGAAATGGCATAGGGGCTGGCACCTCGCCACAGGGCACCGCAGAAAGCTGAAGGAATGAACTCAGGGCAGTGGTGGGTCCTGGAAGAAACTGGCTGTTACCACAGAGTGATGTCCCACTGTGCAAGAGTGGCACAGCATAAGGGGTACGGGCATAAGGGACAAAACTAGGATGAGGTTGCAAAAGGAATCCCTAAGGGATGGACGGTCAGGACGGGATGTTGGACCCAGAATGCAACAGTGGCATATGGGACAGGCCTGAGGAAGCAGCTGTGAAGCAAGAGGGAATTCAGCAAGATCTACAGGAAGGCTGTCGTACTGGAGATCATGAAACGAGCAGTTCGAATTTCCTTCGGCTTGCAGAAAGTGAGGGACTGGCCATTGTGGAGGGGTCAGCCCCCTCTGAAACAGAAAGAGACTGCACACAGAGTAAGAGCTGGCAGTGTGGGAGCACCTGCCATTCTAAGTAGTTTTCCCCACCAGTCGGAAAAAACAGGATGGTGAAAAACTGGATAGACTGGTACCTTATCAGGAAGCTGCTTGGGATGAGCTGCCATAAGGAGGGAGCAACAGGAGCGTTTTGAGAGTAAACACTGTGAAAAACCAAACAACAGGAAGGAAGGTGAGACTGATCACAGATATCATAAACACAGCCCTCGGAAAAGAAAAAAATGGTGGTATGCCTGTAGGTTACTTGGGATGAATAGCTGTAAGGGAGCAATGTGATGTGTATACCCATTGCTAGGCAACAACTTGGTAAACACATTCCCGTAGAAGCAAATGCCTACAACAATAGGACATCTATTGCTAGGCAACGGATCAGTAAACATGCCCCCTTAACAGTAGAGGCTTTGTTTCAGTGTAGTCGGTGCGAAGTGGGTATAAGGAAGTATAGAACAGTATGTAGTTTACAAATGAAGAGTCAAGTTTTGGGATGCCAGCCTGCCAGGATATGAGCTTGGGAGCAGAGGAAGTGAATTGAGTAGAGTCTTTGGAATTATCAGTTGCAGAATAATGGCAAGAAAGGAGTTAAACTCTGAAAAGAAGACTTCATGTGTGATTTTAAGTTACAGTGAGATGGTTATAAATCTGTTGCCACTATATGACTAGTGAAGACTGAGAATCCTAGTGCATGTGTCATGGTGAACTGTAAAGTGTGTAACCCCAGAGATAGTGCAGTATTGCCTGTAGTCCTGAGTTGTGAATATATAAGGTGCAATAAATCCCATCACCCAATCCAAAACCCAAGTCACGTGTACAGCCCCTACACGTGACAATACGTACTACTGTACCGCTGTATATAATTGCTTTTTATCTATTTCTTAAACTGAATAAGTTCCTGAATTTTTTATAATATAATATCAGAGTCAAAAATGTATTTCAGGTGCAATTTGTAGGAGAACTTCATGAGAAAATGTTTCTGTAATACTCATTTTGTATTATGATGAGTTATTTTGAGAAATTTTATACAGATTATTTTTAACAAAAAATGTGAATGATAAAAGTAGGAATCTGTCCAATCCTGTTTTATTTATGACATGTTTTCCCTTTTTAAATTTATTATATCTTTTGTAGAAGTTTGCAGCAATAATAGCACTAGATTCTTGTGCCAAAGTAGCCAGGCTTGGAACTGCCAGAATCTAGTGGATTTTTTTATGCTTAAACCCTTTGAGAACATTGTAACTTTGTTGATGTCCCCTCCACATCAGACTGTAAGTTTCCTCTGCTGTAAATTGCCCAGTCATTATCAGGAAGAATACTGCCATGCTTCTGCAGAATCGCATTCCTTTACTCTTTCCAGGCCTGCAG